CATCTTCTTCCTAAATTGGTAGTGTATGTGGTTGATAGTTTTTTTTTTAATTTTTGTTGGTTTTTTTTAATCTCATCATTCAATCTTAATTTGTGATATGTCATTTTTTTTTTATCAATTTGGTGCTCATTATTTTGTTTTTTTATCCTTTTGTTAAATCAATTTTGTTTTCAATTTCATCTTTAAATAAAAAATTAGCTTTTCTACAATTTATTTTTTATTTCAATATTGATCCTTATTCTTTTAATTGCTATTTTTTTGGATTTTTTTGTATAATTTAATCTCTTTTCCCATTTCCATCTTATGATATTTGTTTGGTTTGGGATTGAACTTTATGTTTTTTCCAGGTGGAGTGCTTTTTGCTAATGACCTAGATTATATATTTGGAACGTTAATGCAAGTTGATTTTTTTTAGAATTATTTTATTTTTTAATATCATTATTTAACATTGATTTTTTTTTTTAAATAAGCTTTGTGATTTTTTTTTGTTTTATTTTTTATCGAGTTATTCTATTCTCATGACTTGGATCAAAACATAAGAGTACATAACTATTAGGGATGTTCAGGAAACTCAGCTCATTTGTAATATTTGCATTATCTAACCTAATTGAACCCATCAAAGTTGGATAGTGTGGATATTATAGATGATAGTGTATCAAAAAAAACCTAGGAAATGGATATCACCAATTGAGTGGCAGGACAAGATTTATAACTCGATCAACCTGTATACATTATACTCCTTTTTTCTTTACATTTGATAGTTTATAGGTTGAGCATTTACTTTTAGTTTTTTTATAATTGTTTCAGCTTCAAAGCTCTTGTCATTAAGTTTTTTTATTATATTATTTAATGTAATTAAAAAGAGCTTGTCTTTTTATTGGAAGAGAATGAAGTAACTAAAATTTAATGATGGTGCAATGTATGAAAATTAAATTTAATATTAAAAATATCATGACAACAAGAGTTATATATATTATAGGTCTGCTTCTAAATACGAACTATAAAAATTAATAATATAAATTCAATTAATGAAAATCTATAATATTTATAAAAGGTAGATTAACCCAAAATATCTAACATGGATCCAAAAGAAATTAAATGAGTTGGTTTGTTATTTGTAAAACATCAGAAATTATATTATATACAATTATGGGTTCAAATCCACAATAACTATATTTATAAACATCGCTAATGATAACATAGAATACCTTACCCACTGAGGTAAAAGCAAAACACACAAGTCCCCACTACGGGCACAAAAGTTAAGAGGTAAAATCATTTAGGTCTCGTAAAGTTTATGAAGGAGACCTAGTAGTTTAGAAGTAAAGCGTGTAGGACTTATGCTTAGACAAGCTTCTTCAAGAAAACTAAAACATGCATACCATTTTCGAAACAAAAGTGGTGAAGACTGAAGAGGCTAAAAAGTAGAAATTCTGGGGGCTTGTTAAAAAACAAGCACGCCACATTCAACGCAGTTCCCGGAGTTCAAATAGATTCTACAGGCGTGTGAGCTAAGGCTGGCGACCCAACCCCAACCCCACCTTCACCCACCAATATTTAGCTTTTATGCCCTAACCATTTCCATGCCAAACCTCTTGCACTTCTTTTAATCAAATGACCGTATGGAATCTCATTATTACCATATAATCAAGACTTGTTCGGGTATTGCTTGATTCAAATTTCCTGCTACGATAGCTAAATGGGCGTCCATATACATCAGTCACCGCTTCTAAGGACTTGAGCCATGTTAGTACTGCTTGCCACGGAAAAGATGGATATAAAATTATTGTTAGGGTTACACAAATCAATGCTGTCGCCTCCTAACATAACCGCTAGCCATTATCCCAATGAGCACCAAACATTTTGAATAGCGACCTGCTACCTATCTTGAGTCTAGCTCATGATGCTGGTTGATATCAGGAATATTAAAATCCAAAAAGAAAAATAAATGTGGAAGACAAATTGTCGTTTTATTAGTTTAAATTTCAGTGCTTTTTTTAGATATTGCGTTCTCTGCAGTTTCCATTCTCTTTCTATTCTTCTATTCTCTCACCTGTACCATTTCAAACTCCAATAAAAGATTCCACTTCTTTGGTCCTCCATACTTTCCTTTTTTTAATGCAAGGAATTAATTTCTATACGCAAAATAGAGAATTGCCACTGGAAAAATTCTTGAATTCCGTCGTGAACGCAACGGGGATTACTTATAATGGAGGCACAACTCTTAAGTATATCATTCAAACAAGTCTCTGTAACTAAATTATTTCGTTCTTTGATATTGAAAGCGCTAATGCTGATCATAGAGAAACTTGTCAAGGCTGCCTATATATGTGCAGGTGAGTCAATATATGATGCATAAAGAACAAAAAAAAAAAAAAAACTGGAGGGGTCCCATGGGGTTTCCTATTGCATTGAAACTTCAGCCTCACCAAGAAAACTGTTTATAGTTAATGTTCCTTTGATTTGAAGGAGAAACAAAGCTAGACGCGAAGCATTCAAAACCAGGTGGCAGGCGGAGCTAGCCTTTAATGGAAAATGACTTGACTGGATTGAGTGCTAACTAATTTATGCTATGTTGATGCAGAATAATTAAGTTTTTTTTATGTTCAGGGCAGATGGATGGTACGCCCGAAATGAAAACTGATCATGAACTTTAAGCTGCTCAGCATTTTGTAATAAAAATGTCCACAACAAGGTTAAAATGAGAAAGGGACAGAATGATTTTGTGGGATTTACCAAATCAGAGAAGACATACAATATTTCCTTTCCTTTGTTGACAGGTGATCTGTGATCATATAGCTCGAAGACAAGCAACTTTACCGATAGACAGGCCGGTAATTAACTATTATTAACAAACCAACAAAAAAAGAAAAACAATATTAATTGATCATTATAATTTTCTTTCTCGCTGAACCCAGATCAATTAATTTGCAAAATGCTATTATCTAAGACTAAAGAAATCTTAGAATACAGGGTTGATATGGCTTGACAGATTTAAGCAGCAGTGGGATTCCAAACTCCAAAGAAAGCCATGAATACCTCACTGCTTTTTTTCTATTCTAAAAAAGAAGTCATAACCAGAGAACTATCCTTTTTTTTTTTTATTAAGAATGAAAAGAAGCGAATGTGTATGTTGTGTGTGTGTGTGTGTACAGACAAACACATACGTACATTGTTCATTACAACATTATAATAACAGTTTTGCTCTTCCCATGTATAAAACCTTTTTTTAACCGGTTATTGCTATAGAAGATAATTAGATTTTTTTACAAAATTTATTAGTTATTATTAAATTATTTGAAGGCAAATAAGTTTTTTTTTTAAAAAAATTAAACATAATAAAACAATCAAAATCAATAATTTTGCAGCTTTCAGGTGGTGTGTGTAGTAATTCCTCTCATTAGCCAAATTCTCTATTATATCAGACCATTAAAAGCGTTGTGCCGACCTCTTCTTGATAGGTGACATGGGGTATTGTTGGTGTAACAGTAAAATAACAAAGGCACTTTATTTCTTTATTTTCCCATTTTTTCTTCCTTCTACTCTCAAAATTTATATTAACTATATAAAATTTTAAAATTATCTTTTTATTTACTAAGAGTTCAACTTTAGTTATTATTATTTTGATTTTTAGTTTTTGCTCTTGGCTCCTTTGTAATTTTTTAATTTATTTTTAATTTTATCATCCAATATTAATTAGTGATATATTATTTTTTTTTCAATTTCTTCCTCATTATTTTGATTTTTTTATCATTTTGTTAAATTGATTTTTATTTCAATTTTACCCTTCAATAAAAAAATTTATATTTATCCTTTAATTTATTTATTTTTTCAAATTCGATTTTCATTCTTTTAATTATAATTTTATTAAATTGATTTTTCTTTTCAATCTCAACATTCAATCAATAACTTACAATTGTCCTCTAATTTATCTTTTATTTTAATTCTTATTTTTTATCCTTTCATAAAAAAAGTAATACCCCTCTAATTTTTTTATTTCAATATTAATCCTTGTTTTTTTAATTATTTTTTTTTTATTTTGGGTCCTTTTGTAAAGTTTAATTATTTTTTTAATTTTATCATTTAATATTTAATTGGTTAAAAACTTATTTTGTGATTTTAAAAAAAAAAGTACTTTCAGTCTGATAACATTAGTTATGAGTTTGGAAAGTGAGTGGAGGTTGATGTTGTTTTTTTAGTTATTTTATTTTTTGATTTCATCATTTCATATTATTTTTAATTTTTATAAAAACAAGTTTTGTGATTTTTTATTTTTTTTATATAGATCTATATTAGGATATTTTAATCTCATTACAAGGATCACGAGTTTAACAAATTAACTCGAGTTGACGTATTTATTTTTATGAAGTTGCTTTTAAAATAAAAAAATGTAAATCTTTTCTAAAAAATTATTCTTTATAAAAATAATAATAATGTAACCATTATTATTATTATTTTACACGGTACAAACGAAATTGTACTGAAAAAAGGCATTAAAGATGAAATTAAAAGGTGTTAATAAGATAAGATCCTTTCCAAAGCAACCAAATTTCTTTACTTTATATGGATACATACATACATATACATATACATACATACATATGAGAGAGAGAGAGAGAGAGAG